TTTTTTTTTTTTTTTTGGCTACAAAATCAGGTTTCCATACAATCTTTCAGATTTCAAGACAAAAATTTTTAATTTTTAGCTTAGAAGTTAATTGGGGAAAAAAGCTAAGCCAAATGGTGTCATCATATCTTTGTTTGTCTTTATTTGTTTTTGAGCGTGTTTCTTTTTTATTTTTTTTTACTCTTTTGGTGAAATGATTTTTAGCATGTTTCGGTGATAAGATAATTATTCCTAAATTATGTAGGTTATGGAGTACCAAATATTGAATTTCTATTTTATGATTTTATTAATTTTTGGATATAAATTTGGAAAGATAATTATTCATATACGAAAAATAATTGAAAAATAATTTTTTATAACACTTTTCAAGTGTCATTTAATAATAAATTATTTTTACTTAATTATAGTTTATAATATTATAATATATATTTATTTAATAAAAAATAAAAATTATAGTAAAATTTTATATTATCATTTGAAAAAAAAAATTTACTTTTTAATTTAAAAATCTGAAAAGTTTGTATTTTTAAATTGATTAATAATAAAATTATCATCTTTATTTATCCATTATCTTATCAAATGATGGGATTTTCATATTTGAAAATTAAAAATGGTAAATTCCATAGTTACCGCGGATACATGTTAGGGACGTAGCAGTAAGGTAAAAAAGTTCTGTTAGAGATGATGTGGCAAGGTGGGTCCCACAAAGGTGGAAAAAAATATTAAAAAAGGCTTAACCGGTGTTATCGTCACACTTAACAGTCAATAATCATCACATTTAACAGTCAATAAAGAGCACCGTTACCTTACGGTGGATGGAGGGACGACATTGGCATTCTTTTGCATTGTAGAGGGACGACAGATGGAGTTAATTGATAGTAGAGGGACGATATAGAGCCAATCCATAGTAGAAGGTTTAGATTGCACTATTTTTAATTGTAGAGGGACGATAGATGGCCTTAACCCAATTATAAACGAATATTAAATCAGCTATGGAAAAAAGAGTAAAAGGGCAATGCTAAGGGTACTCGCCCAAATGCACCCTCTTCGGCACTTGCCCCTCTATTGCTGGCACGTTGCAATATATGTCAGTAAGAGTAATGCTAGGGGCACTCGCCAATTGGACTCACCAACCAACACTTCCACCTTCATTGGGCCACGTTATTTGGTTTTAAGAGGTTGCCTTCCAAAGCCTTAAAAAGCAATCTTACGTGGCCAATAAAAAGAATATATTTGGCGGAGAGTGCAGGAGGCGACTGCCCCTAGGACTGCTTAAACAAAAAGGAGTTCTGTATAGTTCGTGAATTCTTAAAACCGGCAGATGGAGGGTCGTTAGGGTTCTTGCGGTTGCTGTCATCGTCCGGTTTCTGTCGTGCCTCTTGTTTTCCGGCTGGGTTGTTTCTTCCTGTAAATCTGCCTTAATCGTCTATTCTAGATCTAGTCAATTCTTTTCTCTTGGGGTGTTTAAGATCTCGAGTTTTCTTGCTGTGATACCCTTCAATTGGAAGTGTAATTTTTCTAATTTCTGATTTTCTGACTTTGGATCCAAGTCTATCTCTTTGATTATGGAGATTGGCTTTAGAAATTTAGTTTATTTTGAGTGAGAGCTTTGTGTTCAAGTCAACACTTCAGGAGCAACGGCTTGGGTCCTTTGCCAAGTTGTAGGTTTTGGCTGTTTCTTTGGGTGTTTGGATCTTTGATCTACTCCCAATTCTTTTCTTTCTTCATGTTTTCTTTTGGTTGGGTGTCAAGGGTGTCATGGAATCCCCTGCTTCTGGTTCTAGAGTAGGTTTTCTCGCCGGTGGATTTTTGAGTTTCGATTGGAATCCCAAACTCAGACCTTCTCGCTGAAAGCGCTGCACTGTCCAAGGGGGTGGAGGAGATTTCGGATCTCAAGAAGTTTCACCCAAAATAGCAAGCATAACCGGATTCTCAGAGCTCCAGAAGATAGCTAATTAGTTATGGGAGAAAAGGCCATCCTTTTTCAAGCAGTGGTTCCAATTGGTGAGAGGAGGTCGATGATGAATGCCTGGTTCAAAATCCAACCCACCACCGGCAAAATCTCCGGACCTTTCCATGCCAGCCAACAACCTTTCCGTTTGGGGATAAGTTCTACCATTGTCAGTCCCTCGTTGCGTACAAACCTCTTGTCCTTGCATACAACCCCCTTGTCCTTGTATACGATAGGCGGCCGAGTGCCCAACCATTTTGTGCTCAGCGACTGCATCAGCTGGGTTAGCTTCTCTAGATATTTTGGATTTGGTAATTTAAGCATCTATGGACAAGGTGTTTTCAAGGAGTGGAAGACCAGTAAATTACCGTCTCCTTGTGTTGATTCAGTCCTCGGCGTTTATGGTAAATACTTGTGCATACTTCCCGGTGTGTGGAAATATGGTTATTATCGCATAGACGAGGATGAATATCTTACTAATCAAAAGGGCTACATCTGGGACACCAGTGAAAATAAATGCCTTGAAACCAGAATAGATCCTCCAAAAGTTGAGGGTGAAAAATGGCAGTGGCGTAGGATTCGTGCTTGTGCTCCTTTGGATGGAGAAGGGCTTCTAATTGCTATGGATGGAGAGAAGAACAACTTCTTTCTCTATAACCCAGAGAATAATGATTGGCAGATTTGCAATATGAAGGATCCACTTCCCAAATTCATTGGTGAGACTAGCTTTGCGGCATCCGGCGGGAAACTGTACATCTTGGAGGTGCCAGTTAAGTCCCCTGCCTTCTTATACATCTACAATATTAACGGCGGGGAAAGGAGGCTCGAGAAGGACAAAATTCCAATTCTGGAGTTTGTTGACGACTTGTGGTCAATGGATAAGTGGGATAGAGGGGTCCGTCTAGTTCACCTTGCTGATGACATGCTTGGCAGGTCTCGCCGGTCTCGCCAGTCTGACAAGCTCTGTTTTCTGTGGCTTGGCCCTGTTTCCTACGAAAATGAAAACGGGTGGCCTCCTGTTCGGACCCTTCACCATCTCAAAATTGAGGTTCCCTTCTGTTCAGATCAACCGACTAAGGTTGTGGATAACAAAGTTTTTCGTACAAACATCACTGATTTGTTAGATTGCCTGCCATGGTAAGTCCTTTTCCATTTTCCCTTTTAATTTGCATGTCATATATACATCTTGATTTCTAACCATTCCTTGCTGTTAACAATAGTGATCCTCTCATGTTGGAAACTGAAGCGGATGAAGTACTCATACCCAGAGCTTCAGGAACAACGGCGGCTGCCAGAGAAAACACCCTCCTTTTCCAAGCAGTGGTTCGATCTGGTCAGAGCGATTTGACGATGAATGCCTGGTTCAAAATCAAACCTACACACGAAATCTGCGGACCTTTCCATGTCAGACAACCATTTCGTTTGGGAATGAGTTCTACCTTTGTTGGTTCTTCCTTGTATGCAATAGGCGGTGAAGTGCCCTCTAGCAGGTTATGTAAGTCTGGTTACATCAGCTGGCTTGACACCCGCAGTCCTTTCAATGGGTGGGAGGTCGGTGAATTACCATCTCCTTGTGTTGATCCAGTCATTTGCGTTTGTGGTGATTTTTTGTACATATTTACTGAACTAGAGGGCTACATCTGGGATACCAGAGTCAATTGCTTTCTTGCCACCATACTCCTTCCTCGAGTTGTTGGTGGTGGTGAGAGGCAGTGGCGTAGGATTCGTGCTTGTGCTGCTTTGGATAGACAAGGGCTTCTAATTGCTATGGATGGAGAGAAGAACAACTTCTTTCTCTATAATCCGGAGAACAATGATTGGAGGATTTACAATGTTAAGGATCCACTTCCCAAATTTAGTGGTGAGACTAGCTTTGCAGTATCCAATGGGAGACTCTACATCCTGGAGGTTCAAGTTAAGTTCCCTGTCATGTTATACATCTATGACATTATGGAAGGGAAGCTCGTGAAAGGAAAAATGCCTATTCCGATTTCTTCTAATGACCTTTTGCGGTTAGGTGAATATTACAAGATAACAGTGTGCCGTTTAGTTCCAGTGGCTAATGACAAGCTCTTTTTTCTGAGCCTTCTTCGTGTTTTTCCTTCTTTTTCTGAGGGTGAACTTGGAACGACTCTTCTTGAATATCGCAAATTTAAGTTTTCCTTCAATCATAATCCTTCTAATTCAGAGGTTGAGGTTGAGTCTTGTATTGAATATTCAGGATATTGTTCTATTGCAAACGTCACCAATTTATTAGATTGCCTGCCATGGTAAGTCCTTTCCCATTTTCCTTTTTGATTTACATTTGACATATACATCTTGATTTCTAACTATTCCTTTCTGTTAACATTAGTGGGCCTGAACAATTTGAAGTAGAAGGCAAATCTCCCCCCGACTATCTGCTGTTAGTGCTTTTCCATTTCCTCTTTTAATTTTTGTGTCAACTATGCAACTGATTTCTATCCCTTTTTTTTTTATATTATTATTACCTTTTTTTTGTGTTGGTTGTGATGCATTTAACACTAAATATGCACCTTAATTTCTGAAATATTGTTTATCTGTTGGTAGGACACAGCTTGCAGATCCATTTCATGAACAGAAAGGGCAGGTTTGTTGTTGGTGTTTCCATGCATTCTCTACATTCCTTTTGAATTGCATTTATTTACGGCCAAATCCCCAAATTGCTCCCTGAAATTTTTTTACCCGGATTTCACACCCTATAAGAATTTTAATTCAGAAACTATGCTTTAAAAACTGCACTACGCACGGTTTGTTTGTACTCTATCTTTTTGGTAGTTATTAAATATAATAATGTTGATTCATAATTGAAATTAGTTTTTATTAATAAATATAAGTCATTTCAAACACATCTTACTATATTATAAAAATTATTAAAATTTTTAATAAAAATTACCTAATGGGCCTTTAAAAACCCTCAATAAATTCCTTTAAAATCTTTAAAAAATTCCTTAAAAATGCTCATAAAATCTCAAATAAATATTGGATGGGCCTCTCAATAAATTTGCATTGAAAAAAATTAAAATATCTTCACTTTTAAAGTAGAAATAAGGTGATAATTCATTAATTAAAGAATTTTATAGATATTTCTACACACTTTTCTTGTGGTTCAATCATAAAAACACTTTTTTAATAAATATATTAAATAAAACTTAACCACAATTGGAAGTAGGGAATTAAACTTTTAAAATAAAACAATATTAAGCTATCAACTTAACAGCAAAATTAAAAATATCATTTTAAATATACAATTTACAAAAACTAATTCATATTTATATAATTAAAAAAAGACACATACCTTAGATAAGCTCCAATAAAATTAGATTTTTCAATAGCGTATGTTGAATACCTATAATCCGCTAACAAAATAAAAATAGTTAAAGCATATATATCAGAATAAAAGAAAAAATTAGCAATCTAACAAATAAAATAATGACAAATATCATATGAAAAAGTAGTGAGTAGAAAAGATTTTGGAAATTAAAAGCCAAAATGATATACATAGAACTAGTAAATCATCAACCATAATTGTACCAAATGAAAAATAAATTCTAATTATAACTGTTTTCAAACTTTTATTTTCTTAAATGGCTACTTCAATTCATTTCAATTCTTGTGGATGATTTTGAAAAATCAATCCAAGAAATGCAATGAGAATTAAGGGTGGGCAATTTTAAAAAGGAATGAAATAAATGAATTTTTGGTTTTATTTTTTGTTCTCTTAATTAAAGATAATATTTGGTTAGAGTAATTGTATAAGAATTAAATGTGTGCTTTCAAGTTCCTCTTTGAAAGTAAATAAATTTAAAATGCAAGAAAACCAAAGTAGTCAATAAAGAAGTGAAAAGATTCCAACTAAAAGTAACCTATAAATGTAATTTAAGATGAAAAACAGAACATTATGCTATTCAAATACAATATAATAAAGGTAAAATAGAAGATATAAGGTTAGATTAATGCATTGAACACAAATTATTGAGGGAGGGGTTGCATTTAACACAAATTAAAAGGAAAAATAGATGAAAAATATATTTTTATTTAGATCTCAATTTATGCATGGGTGAGTTTTTTTTTTTCCTTGATTAAAGAGAATATTTTTGAGAAATGATTAAAGGGAATATTTGATTATAGTAAGTGTGTAAGATTAACTGTGTCATTCCAACTTCCTCTTTGAAAGTAAATAAATTTAAAATGCAAAAAGAAACCAAAGTAATAAATAAAGAAGTGAAAAGATTCCAACTAAACGAAACCTACAAATATAAGATGGAAAACAAAGCATCATACTTTTCAAAATACAATATAACAAAGGTAAAATAGATGATAAAAGTTAGATTAATGCTTTTAACACATTATTAGGGAAGGGATTGCATTTAACACAAATTAAAAGGAAAAATAGATTAAAAAATATATTTATATTTAGATCTCAATTAATGCATGGGTAGCATTTTATATATATATATATATATATATCATTTTGTATGGTTGACTTGATCATTAGATTTAGGTTTATTTGATATCTCATTACTTTGCATCCAAACTGGCTTTTTCTTGGTGTGTTGTGGAGGTGAGTTGATTGCTGGATTGCTAGCATTTTTAGTTGCTGGCGAAATTTGTCCTGTTGCTTTTGGCTGACTCTGTTCTGGCTGCCTTCCCACTTCTGTCAAAGACAGTCTGTCTTCTGTTTGCTGTGACGGATTGTGCCTTTAACATCAAAATTGTTAGCAATGGCTTGTTAGCCATCTTAGCATTCCAATCCTACATTCTATCTTCATCAAAGAGTGTGACTAGACTGATGACAATCTTCTTGGTAATGAGATTGTAAAGCCTATAAGCTTTAGAATAACCACCAATGCCAACAAAATCACATTTCTTCTGTGTCATTCAACTTATTTCCTTGCTGTCTTAGTAAATGGACATTTGCTATATACTCAAAAATTATGAAATGGGCAACAGCCGGTCGTCTGCGACTTCATGCTTCTTTCAGTGTCATATTTTTTACCGTTGTAGAACTACTTAGAACATTGAATACTCCAATTAATTGCTTCTAGCCAAAATTCATTTAACATTCCATGTTAATAAGCTTCGCACCATGTCTAGGATAAGTACGATTTATTCTTTCACAAACACCATTTTATTGTGGTGTATGAGCTGCTGTCATATTCCTTCTTGGTTTCATCTTTAATTTTATGAACTTCTTAGTTTTTGTTTCCCTACATCACAGATTACAGCTGAACCGGAAACAGAGTCATCCTCTGAATATTCTCTTTCAAGAGGAAAAATGATTCGAGAAATCACTGCAGCAGATGAAGTAGAGATGCGTCACATTCTAGTCGCCCCCAGAAAACATCCTTCCTATAGATCTTACTGGATCTGGGAGAAAGAGAAAGAGAGAGCAAAAGAGAGAAAGAAAAAGGTAATGATCTTCTTTAAGCGGGGAAATCTAGCATATATATACTTGGATTTATATACTGTATAAGACATCTTCATTTAACCATCGTGGATTTGTTTTAACTTAGATGCAGTTTGAGGCTGTTTGGCTAAGCATTTTTTCAAGTAGTTTTTAAGTTAAAAATTGTAAAATATTTGTTTCTTTTGAGCTTAAATTTGTTAGAGGGAAACTTGATTTTTAGTAAAATAAAGTAATTTTCTAAGTAAATTTTGCTAAAAAAATTCGAATTCTT